CGTAGGCAGAAAGTGTCAGAACCACACATGCACGGTCCTTGGTAGCCTTCGTGTAGATAAATACAACAGACAGACAAACAAATGAACCAACAGACAGTTACTACCATCACTTACAGGCGAAAGCGTGGAAGATATTAAAGACCACTTGCAATGTGAAGCGGTCATGTCTTTTGTCCTCGCTGAAGTCGTTGGACGCGTCAATGAAGCTATTGAATGTGTTGTCTGACGTATACGTGAAGAACGCTACCACAGCCTGTAGGACCATGCAGCCAATCACGGAGGGAACCACAGTTTGCCTGGCCCTGCTCAATCTGTCGGCCATCTGGAACCAAACCAAAAGAAAAGAGCCTGAAATTGTTTTTGTTGTTGTTGTTTATTTGTTTGTTGGTTGGTTAGTTTGTTGGTTGACTGTTTCTTGTTGTTGTTTTTGCTATTGTTGTTGTTGTCGTTGGTGTCGTTGTTGGTGTCGTCGTTGTTATTGTTGGGGGAGGGTGGAGTTTATGTTTCATTTAGAGTTTATGTTGGGGTGGGGGTTGTTGTTGTAGCTTTTTTTTCTTTTTGATAATTTTGTTTGCATTTTTTTGGAGGGGGAGGGGGCGTTATAGTTTAATTTTTAGTAAGAGTATACCAGCATTTGCAGCTCAAAAAGGTCACAATACTGGGGTCAAGAGGTGTTATTACTAGAGAGTAACATACAAAGAAAAAGGAAATAAGGAGGAGATAATAATTACAATAATTAGGGTAGATATTTGATAGGATAGCAGCAGCAAACCACACCAGATAACCCCCTAACCACCAACATTTTTTAAAATGTAGGTGTTTAACACCCACCACCGACATAATACGTATAGATCATTTGAGAGGCGGATTCCGACCCTGATCATAATAACAGAAAAACACAGTCAATGATGGCAATATGATTATTATAAGTAGTGTACTAAAAGAGGCGACAACAACAACAACAGCAAAAGCAGCAGTAACAGCACACCGCCACAAAACAACAACAACACCAACACATTACTACCACCACCAACGATAACAACAACAACAACAACAGCAGCAGCAGCAAAAGCAGCAGTAACAGCACACCGCCACAACACCACAACAACACCAACACATTACTACCACCACCAACGATAACAACAACAACAACAACAACAACAACAACAACAACAATAGCAAAAGCAGCAGTAACATAACACCACCACAATACCACCACAACACCACCACATTACTACCACCACCAACGATAACAACAACAACAACAACAACAACAACAACAACAACAGCAGCAGCAGCAGCAGTAACAACGACAAAAGTAATAGTGCTGATGACTTTGGTGATGACAGTAATACAATGTTAAAGGCTTGTACGAAGATGCACCCATCAATGGTGGCACCTCTGACTAGACTTGATTAATATTTTGTTTGCCGGGGGGGACAAAAGACGAGGGGAACATTTTTTTTCTTATTTAGGTGATTCTAAGACGCCTCCTCCTTCTCTTTCTCCTCCTCCTCCTCCGCCTCCTCCTCCTTCACCTTCTTCTTGTCCTTTTTCTTCTTCTTCTTCTTCTTCTTCTTCTTCTTCTTCTTCTTCTTCTTTTTCTTCTTCTTCTTCATCTGCTTCTTCTTCTTTTTCTTCTTCTTCTTCTTCTTCTTCTTCTTCTTCTTCTTCTTCTTCTTCTTCTTCTTCTTCTTCTTCTTCTTCTTCTTCTTCTTCTTCTTCTTCTTCTTCTGCTTCCGCTTCTGCTTCTGCTTCTTCTTCTGCAAGTAGCTGGACGTTACTTCTCAGACCAATCTACAAATAAACGCTCTGTCTTGCCATTTCCAAACCAGATCTCTATGCCCTATTCCCACTTTCTGTTAGGTCCCCCCCCCCCCCCCATCCCCCTTTCCTCTCTTGCCTTCAACCTTTGCTTTCAAATCTCGAGTGATTTATGGCGTTTGATATGCCGAAAGCAGTTCAGTTTTAATGTCAATACATTCTGGTGGAGTGTTTCTCAACACGCTGCTGATGATGGTGAACTGCAGAATTACAAAGGTGTGTTACAACACCGTGGAATCAGGCGCTTGTCAATTTCTGGGCATATGAAGTTAATGGCATTTTTTCAATCTTATAAATTTGTCTTGCTTTTAATTAAAAGTATACCCATCTTTTTTAAATAGAAGTCGAAATATCTGCGATTGAAAGAGATGGGAATCCCCTGGTGTCAGTGGTAAAATTATTAGAGAGAAAATGGTTGCCAAAGTTTGGTGATTTCGAAAACTTGATTGTCCTTGAAAACATTTACATGTTTGTGCTTTTGATCAACGTCTTTCAGTAAAAATGCACACAGAAATATGTTTTAAGCGGGCGTAGAAGGCATGTAAAAGACATTTAACAATATACGGCGATAAAATTGGCTGCATCTTCGATGTTCTTATTTTGAGGAGTCCCTGATTCTACCACGAGACCTCATAATTCTAAAGGTCACAACTCTGATTTAAGGCCATCCACTCAT